GAAGTCTGTTCTGGTATGCAACAATGTATCATCATTTTAAAATGAGCATTAAAAAATCCAAGCTTGTTATTAGTTTTGCATGCAAAATAGTTTATGTTGTATCCTATGCAAGGCAGATATGGTCATGGCAATACAATGATATTTGCTGCCGTAAGCCTACATAGTTTTCAAAACTAAAATTCAATGCTTAGCTAAATTGCTAAGCAGACTGGTAAATGTCCAATTTTAGCAGCCTAACATATGTTTATAATTTTTGTTTTAACATATGCTATGTTGGTTGAACTCCCCTCCCCACACATACGGTAGATAAAAGCTGTCACATCACAAAATGGTGGCAGCCCAACTTTTCTAACATTTTCCATGTCACTTCAGAGTCTTGCATTAATTAGCTATTCTTGGATAGGAGACAGACTCTCATCTTTGTAGAATTTTGGTTTCAAACCCGTCATGTACTTGGGTTTATGTATGCAGTAGCCCATCTGTGTTTCTGCAGCCGTAAGCTGCAAAAAGCACAGGGCAGAGAGAAAAGCGGTCAGCAGGAGCGAGGGTGCCCTTGGCTCACAGATGCAAACACCGAGCAAATGGCCCCACAAGCTGGCCCGTTTGGGCTCTCAGGAGCCATCTCCCTCTTCCACTTTTACAGGAGAGGTGAGTGAATGAAACAATGTTGGTGCACAGCACTGTCTCCTTTCATTGCGAGCTGCTAAACTACCCCTCTTTTCTCCTCCTTTTTCAAAGCAGGTGTAAGGAGGAATTTCACTGAGTCTACGATTCTTTCCTAAGCCTCAGCTGGGTAGTGGAGAATTGTGACAAATACCACTGCAGCTGTGATAATGCTGTCTTAATCCTTGCTGCACTTTGACATGGAAACCTGGATTTAGACATGAAAGGACATTCCTTAACAGTACAGCAGTATGATCCCTTATCAAATCAAACTGCCTTTTGCATGTGCTCCAAAACCATGGTATTTTTTGTCTGATGTATTCTGTCTGCTATTTCCCTGTTGTCAGGCTCCTGACTGTGGTGTAGTTCAGCATGTGTAATGTCTGCTGGGCTGCTGCATGGGGGATGATTGGTTTTCTGTGGAGAAGGAAGGAGCCTTGCCCATCAATTGAAACTGCTGTAGGAATGTCACAGTGTCTGTGATAGAGGGCTGGTGTTGGCAGGTGTGGTCGTATCTGTGCCTGGTCTATGCACAGCATGGACAGGGTTGTTCCTATGCCTTCACCCTGGGTGGCGTGGATGCCACCTCCTGTCCTCTGGTCTGCCTTGGAGCTGCTCAAAAGCACGTGCTAGCTGCAAGCGTAGTTCCAAGCATATTGGCACAACGTAATGTATGATGTCATTCCTATCCAAGACTAGAGTTGTAGTGGACATCTCAGTATGGAGATTGAGATCCAGCAACCTGAGCCCATGGAGCTTCAGGGGAGCTGCTGAGGTACCCTGGAATGTATCAGTGGTGCTGTCTGGATGAGGACATGTGTAGTAGGAGCTGGTGGACCCTGGTGCTTGCATGTTCACCTGCAGAGCTTTGAGAAACCCCATGGAGAGCTGCCAGCAGAGCAACCTGCTTCCAAAACCCTGCATCTGCATCCAAAGCCCTGTGTTGCCTCCCAGCTGCAAGCCAGTGCCACTGTCAAACTCGAGTGCAGGACTTGCTGGTGATACTGGTGGAGGGCTTTGCCATCTTTGGGTGGTGGATGCCAGTGGTGGTTGTTCAATGTGTATTTCCCGTTTATGTATTTGTTTTCAGCTACAGGACCTGCAGCTGCTGTTTGGCTCGCTGTTCTTGTTAGCTGGCTGGCAGGCCTTGCTGTGGGATTCAGGTTTTGTCAGTGTGCACAGAAAACAGTTTTGTTTCCCTGGCAGATGAAAAGCATGGTGGAAATAAAGGAAGAAAAGTCTACATTTAAACTGCTTTTTCAGACATTTAGATAAACATAGACAGAAATAAATAAACATAAATGCATTAATTTCTGTTTATTGTAAGAGAACATAAGTAATTAGTGTGTTCTTAACACCAGGTATTTATTGCTAGAAGAAAGGTAAAGAGATGTCTTTATTTTTCAGTGTTGCTCTCTGCCTTGGTAAACATTACTTTGGTTTGAAGATTTTGTGTACAGTCTGCAGAGTGTAAACATATTTTATTTTCTGTCTTCTCTGTGGTTCTCTGCCCAAATGCAACTTATCGACCAGTTGAGTTGAACTAAGTCCAATACCATTTTTCTGTAATGACTGTGAAAGAGGAATACGTGACTCTGGTGAGAGAGGGAAGCACCAGAGTGTTGGTGTAGGACTTCAGAGTTTCTGGAACTCTGGGTGATACCGTGTTAGGGGCACATTTAGTGCTTGCTCGCTGTTGTTTGCAGTACTTGGACATTGGATAACTCATAAAAAAATATAACTTTTCTTATTGCTCACGTTACTTACTGCTCAAATTTTGCTTTGGATTAGAATAATAATACAGGTAATAATGCCATTCAACTATTTAAGGCATAGGCATAATGTTAAGATAAAAACTCTTGATACAGGTTCATCTGTGGGTTTTTCTCCTGTACAAGCTTGTGAGGAGTATATATCACTTGCTTAAAAAAAAGAGTGTTTCTGAACTATCAGAAACGGATAGCACGCTTCCTCATTACAAATACTGAAATATAATCAGGTAAGCCCTTGAAGATGTATATACTAGAGTCTCCCTTAAAAATAATGAGTCTTAAGCAAACAAGCAAGAATTCCCCCCCTGTACCTGTGGTACATGTTCTTATTTCTTTTCCCATAAATTTATAATCATCAAAACTGTTTACATGAAAGCTGAGCTTCTCACACGGTTGTCTGATTCTCAGAAGAATGATATTTAAGAAAGCAGTGAGCATCACAAGAATCACGATAAACTCATGGGAGTTTTTTTGTACATTACGGTTGTGTGTAAGTTTTGAATTGAAGTTTTTAGAGAAATAAATGTATGGGCAGATGGTGATATTTACTTAAGGGAAGCTGAATTCATTATCTGACTAGGACTGGGTATTTCAAGCAGCTGTTTGAAAATGAGAACTCACTTTCCATGAAGGAGAATGTATGTTTCAGAAAAATGGGGTCTCTTTTCAAAATGTAAGACTATCCCTTGCTTAGCCTCTATCATAGTGGCTTCTGATATGTGTGTGAATTCATTTATTGAAGAACATTCTCAGTTATGATCAAGAGCTAATTTGATGAAATACCTTTGTAAACTATTAACTGCCCCCCCCGCCAAAGGCAGTCATTCTTAAAAGTTTCAAAACTAGATAAAATTTATAGCCGTTACTTATTTCTAAAGATATTCTACCAGAAAAAGGATTAAACCAAATATTCAGTAATCTTACACTTCCCCACCAGAATTAATTTCTGTCTACCCAACTTGCCTTTGATTGATTGAGATACAATGACTTGAGGAAATAGACCTATGGAAAACTTCTAGACAAAAGCCAGAAGAAAGAAAGCCAAATGTGACCATACTCATTACTTTTTACAGATTTGTTTTTTTGGGACTCTCTAGTCTAGTATGTCTGTTCATTTGCATACATATTTTGAAGCATGAGAGTATGAAAAATAGTCTCACCTTGTTTTTTTGCTACTTACAGTTGTTTTCCTTGTATTCCTGTGGAAAGCTAGCCAGATAGCGTAAACCTAAAGACTGTATCTCTTGAAGACTGTGGGGCATTTATTATTGCTTATGTCCTTTCTTCCCCCAGTTCTTTAAGATTACTTTCACAGAAAATTCTTTTAACTCAGAAAACCTGTGGCCCTATAATTCTTGGTTCATAGAGAAATACAAGCCAGTTTGTAGCAGGTGTCTTTCCCTGGTCCCTTAACTTCTAATGCCTCTGTTTTCCCATTACATAATAAGCAAATTTTAATGCTTAATTATTTTACTGGGACCTTTGCTAATATTTCTGAAGCCCAATGATAGATTTTGAAGTAATTTTTCATCTCACAATGGTCTTATGCATATGGAGGGACTGAAAGGTTCATCACTCTCAAAACTCTTTGGTTTTGGAATTGTCTTTGGGCTCTACAGAGAATGCAGCTGTTTACACATGAAGCACAAAGCCTGTCTGTGAACAGGAAGGATGTGTAAAGATGGCCCTTTGATGGGAAATGAGTTCTTCAGTTCAGACAACTTGAAGAATCTCATCACTTTGCCTTCATGGTACCCGACAAGCCTGCCTCCCCTGTACAGCCGTGGAAGCTGTGCAAACAGCCATCCTGGGGAATGTATGGAAAAAGGGGTTTTTTGATCACTGCAAAATCCTAACACTGGTTCTGACTTTATGCAGTCTTTATGGTGAATCTTGTGCAATACTCATATGTGAATTTAATAAGCTGTTTATATATAAATATAGGACTTGTTTGGCCATCTGTTTTTTCACAGTGGTTCAGTAGTTTGAAAGGTTAAACTGGTTTTGTCTGGCATTAAATAAGAATTAGTAATGATTGCATAGTGCGTGCCTCATGCATCAGGTAGATGTGGAACATGTTCTGCAGCTTCTGCTAACGGAGATCATACAGCAATAAGTTAATTGCTTGTTACAAGCGAGTTTTGACTGCTGAAGGGCACTGTTAAGTTTCTGAGTTTCTCTTAAGTAATATTAAGTTATTGCCACATGTTTTAATTGGATGAAAAATAGTGTTTCAAAGAAGGTCTGATGTTTATTTATCTTTAAAGATCATCATCTGGAATGGGGTTCAGGCTAGGTTTAGAGTCATTAATACTATCAGTCATGCAGAAGCCTAATAACTGAATATATAATAGAAGCCTAATATATCCTAGCTGAATATCCTAGCTGAAATTTGACCACAAGGGTATTTTCCATCCTCTGAAGTCAAAAGAGTGGTTTATAGTGGAAACTTTGTCATACTAATCAAGCAGACATTTGTATTTATCTATCCCTAAGATAATAGCAATTCCTGCAGCAACACTGCAGTTCCTAACTCAAATATTTTTAATTCCTTTTCTTTATCTAGATCATAAAAAAGTTTACAATGGCAATGCTCTGGAAATTCATGAGAGTAGCTAAGTATTCTAAAACAGCTTTATCATCAAAAGTAAGAGGAATTCCCACCCATTCAAGGCATTCTTCATCCAAGTCTGTACCTTCAGATTTTGCTGCCAGTGCACCCTGCTCAAATACTGTGGAACTGCTTGGTAAATCTTATCCTCAGGATGACTACAGCAATGTCACAGAGAAGATTCTTTCCAAGGTGGGGAAGAACTTGCACAACAGAAAACATCACCCTTTGTGGCTAATCAAGGAGCAAGTGAAGGAGCACTTCTACAAGCATTACCTAGGACGCCGTGGGACTCCGCTCTTTTCTGTGTATGACGGTCTTTCTCCAGTGGTTACAGTCCAGCAGAATTTTGATAGTTTACTTATTCCACAAAACCATGCCAGCAGAAGGAAAGAGGATAACTATTACTTGAATCGTGACCACATGCTAAGAGCACATACATCAGCCCATCAGTGGGACTTGATACACTCTGGCCTGGACGCCTTCCTGGCAGTGGGAGATGTGTACCGCCGAGACACGATCGATAACACCCACTACCCCGTCTTCCATCAGATGGAGGGAGTGCGCCTCTTCTCCTGCCATGAGGTATGAATTCTCTAGCTGGGGTGAAAGACATTTTGGGTAAGTTGCTTGGTCTTGTGTTTGCTGCAAGCAAACTTCATCCACATAAACAAGGTTTGTGCACGTAAGCATGTTGCAGCAACAGTGTTATGCTGCACATTGATAAAGATCAAGTGATTTATCATATAGCAATATTTTTAATTTGCAAAAAATGTAGATGGAAAGTGTTGAATTTGAAAACAACTATAAAATTCCATAGGAAAGTGTGAAAAATTGAAAGACAATATTATTGAAAGCTAGCATAGTGAAACAATCTGAAATGAAACAACTTGTTCAGTTAATGATCTGCACAACTCAGTTCTGTTGCTGTCATGACTCTTTTCTGGTGAGATCACTTTACCAAAATCTCTGTCAAATTAATTCTTGAAGGACTCCTTGGATGTGAGTTGTTACAGCTACTTCCAAAGTACAGTTTTCACTGTAGTCTTTTTCTTTTAATAGTGCCAACCTGCCATAAATGAATGTCATTTTCTAGGGAATTGTTCCATTCTTCAACTCATCCTAAAGCTGCAATGAAGGATTCATCTGTTGCAGCCAATATTTATGTGTGTGTGATGCATACGCACCCATCAGAGTCCAGAGGCACCAGCTGAAAAGCTCTAAGTTGATGTCCAAGACTCTTAAGTTTATATGTTTTGTTGGCACAGCTTGCATGCTCTGCAAATGCCTGGGTGTCATTAAGTACTCTGCTGCATCATTGATCAGTGGTAAATATAAGCCAGTTTGTTTTCCAAATAGTAATTGATTTGTATAATTTGTGTATGCTTGTAGCAATACTGCCAAATTCACGGTTCTATAACTAAAACTAGCTTATTCTAATAATACTGAGATGTAGACCATTCTTAATGTGCTTGCCAGCGGGTGACAGGAGCTTGGCAGAGAAGCCTGATGCCTTTGGATGCCTGAGGGAAAACTAAGGTAATCACAGAACACTGCTTTTCTCCGTGATGGAAGGTGCTCATACTGCCTGTGCTGCACTCTCCCACCCCGTGCGAACTTATACCTGAACTCATACCTGCCTCTGCAGGTGTCCTGAGAGCTGTGTGGGGCTGAACCCAGCCTGCAGCTGCTGCTGTGGTAACCACAAAATGGAAATACTTCAGACTTCGTCAGCCTTGTTTGTTTGCTGTTCTTTTCCCTTAGGCCTATTTATGAATATAGTCAGGATGTATGGTATACAATACTATATTAAGAAAATACAATTCCTTAACCATTTTTATTCATCACACAATATTTTTTTTTACACTTTCACAGAAGTTCAGTCATTCAGATGGAAATATTTCACTTGCCACAAAATTATAACATCACCATTATTGCAGGATGAAATTTCTTCAACCTTGGGTGTGATTGATCTAATCATTGAGCTACTTGTTTATGAGTATACCCCTTAAGAAATTTTGGTCCTAATGATGGACTATTTCTTTCAGCTCTATAAATTTAATAATAGGAATAATAGGATTTGAATAACTGGGAACAGAGTTACAGAAATGTTTTCACTGACATATTCTATCTAGAAATATACAGTGTTCAACAATCTAATTCATTACACTGGAGATTGTTTCTTTTTCCCCAAGAAAATAATTGGGATGTTACTGGGGAGCTTCCTATACTGATGAAGAAAGAATAGTGGTGTGGTGTATGATTTGTAAAGTGTTGTTTAATGGGCAACATAAAAAAATTATAAACCTGAGCATGATCTGATGCATCCTTTTTTGCTTCAGTTTGTGTTTCAATATACACCCCTTTTTATAGTCTTAATCATAAGAGCCTTGTGGAAAAAATGAATGTGCAATTCTGAAATTTCACTGGGGACTGTTTCTGTGTTTTGTATTCTGGTTGCCTGTTCAGAATAATCCACATTTAAATAATTCCAGAAGGAACTGTCTGAGCAGAACAAAGACTAAATAGAGGTAATACTGCATGAGAGTAATGCTCTGATACTCATTTATTTATACTCAAGTTTGAGCTATAGCCCACTGAGCAGAAACATGTGACTCTCAGGGCCTGTTACCCTTCTCTCAGACTTTTCATTCCTAACCAGGCTTCAGTCTCTGGTGAGAGGAAATTTGCACAAGTACAAAGGATCAGAATCTTTGGAACCAAGGGAAAAAGAGCTCTTAGCTACAAGCCCTGGGTACATTTCATGTTATGGCCAATACAGTAATTTTACATGCTGTTGTCAGTTTGCTGCTCTAATTTGTTCTTTTTCTTTTCAAATTTATCATTCACTGTCTTCTCAGTGTAAGTGACCACAGACCTAAGAAGATGTCAGAAGAAAAACAAAAGCTTAGAGTGATTTTTATAATAACTTGAGCTTAGAGGAATTTGATGTTTGTTCTCAGTTTAGGAGGTGTGGGGAAAAAGTCATTTTGTCTTCAGCTGAAATTTTAGTCAGGATACAAAAAATATAGGTGTACATAGGTAAATCTCCTTTACAAATACCTAATTCTGTAGTCATGACTAGGTTAAAACTCCTGTCCTGTGATGGAAGCCTTCATCATCATTCTTTATATCAATTTTAAAATCAGTATGTTGAAGTAAGATCTGGAAAAACAAACTAAGTTTGGCAATTTTACAGTATTTTTTCTGATATATTTGTGAGCTATTTGGTTTTTTGGCTATATATTTTTTCATGATGGTTGGTTGATTACTTTTTAAAGAGAGAAGTAATCTATAATTCAAAGATGGGCAGGTAACTGATGCATTTCTGCAGCTTAGTATGAGTGTAAATATTAAAGTACTAAAGAAATTGCCATCTCCCGGACTAACTCATTGCTAAAAGTTAGAATAATTCATGCTTAGAAAATGTTATTAAATTTTATTCTCATAAAAAATGTCCTTGGACTGCTATCAAAGAACACCTGAAAATACATTTAGACATGTTTTCAATATATTTAAAAGTATTTTAGGTGGTTATTATCTGAATGTAATAGAAGAACAGGTAGAAACTGATTAACATAAATAGTTAAAACCAAAAATAGCTTCCCAAATCTACTTCAGAATTCTGAGCAAAAAATGAGCTGTTCTTCTTAAACAGTACCCCCAGATATCCTTTTGTATTCACTTCCTCCAACATTCCTGTTTTTCTTCTAATTGGTGTGTGAATTTTTTTTCCTTCTGTGGTGTATGCCTTTTTTTCTTTTGGTTAGTACTTTGGATTGGCAATTTTGATACTGCTGTATTCAGATCTGAACTGGCCAATTTTCCTAGGTGGATTATAAGAGAAATTATTTCCGTGCTATGCCATTGCCTTTGGTGCAGGTCCATAATTTATGGAAAAGAGAAAAAAAATCTCAACTACATTGCACTTTGTGCATGTCAGCCAGAAGAGGGAGCCAATATAAACCCAATGGCAGTCAATGAACAGATTTCAGTTGATAACAAAAAATGTTTACACATTTGCAGGAGACTTCATATGGTGTTTTATAGTCTATACTAAATAATACATAAATTTTAAGGGGAACAGATGCTAAAACATAGGAATTGCTCCTCTAATTTAGTAACCTTGTTCCAGTGGAGGCCAATACGAGGTTGTTTAGATGAAAAAATTATGCTCTCATCAGGCTTGTTTGTACTAGAAGTAGTAGGGATATATCTTTATTCTCCATTGAAATGCTCATGGTAGAAATGAAAACTTTTTTGTTAGGATGCAGTGGGAAAAGAGTAAATATTCTAGTTACAAATAAAGAATTGCTCCTCCAAAGCACTATATATAATTAAAAAAAAAAGTCAGTATTGTAGCTTCTGTTGTTTATATCCTGAAAGGTAAAGGCCTTTGTCCTAGGTAATAGGAGATTAGTAGATTTTTCTCTTTTTCGTCGAAATACATACTCCTTTCCTCATCTTCCCATACTTCAGTACCTTGGCAATATTCCTGGTGTATTGTTAAAAAAAAAGATGTTGCTTTTTCCTTTTCCTTGTGGTATGGGATGATGTGAACTCCTGATTAACCACTCATCTGCAGTTTCGGGGTTCTTTTTAATCAAGTGCTGTGCTGGGTTTTCCCCATGGAAAACTTGTGTCTTTAGGTTTGACTTCTCCAAAATCCTAGATGCTACTGCAGCTTTGGACACTGTGCTGTTGCTCTGATGTATCAAAGAAGGGCTCCTTCCTGTCTTCAATCCCCTTTTTTTAATCCTCACATGTAAAGGAATTGAAATCAATTTATAGTGTTCCGGGGATCAACCTACTTCATGGAGTTATTTGGAGCTTTTCCAGCATGTCTGAGAGTGCTTGTGAGTGGGAGTCATAATAGCAGTGTTTAGCTGGGCACCAGGGAACAAATATTTTAAAAGGCTTAAATGGCCAAGGAGCCCTTCTTAGCTTTCTACAACTTATTGGTAGGGTTGTGAGCAAAGCATCAGTCCCAAGGAGCCTGAGAGCTGTCCCTTCTTCTCACAGGGAGCAAGCAGCAAGGCTGGTGCAGGAGCAGAGGCACTTGAACTAGATCCACCTGGGTAAAATAAAGGAGCAGCAGCATTACTTTGCTAGAATATTCTGAGGTGAATTTATTCCTGAAGCTGCATTTGAACTCAGTGGTCACAGTGAAGAGCCTGGCTAGTTTAGGTGGAACTGATTTCACTTTCTCCAGTATAAATCCAAGATGTGAACATTGTATTATTTGGTGTTTTCCAAATTGTGGTGTATAAATCATGCCATAATAAATAGATCTTCACTGATCTGAGGATTCAAATTGTATTCTTTGTTATTTTTAGTCAAATATTTGACAGTGAAGGGCATCAGAAGGTCTGTTAGATTTTGATAGTGATCCATGGTCTAGGCAGTTTGAAAACTGATGGTGCATCTTTTACTGCGGAGACTTCATATTTTTTTCAGACGTTGTCTTTTTGTTGTCCAGCTAAAAAAACCCAAAGAAACCAACAAAGCTTTTCAGAATAAAGCCATTAAATCTATTAAATACAATATTTAAATTGTGCAGGAGAATAAAAAAAAGAGGAAAGTGTCCACAAGTATATTTGGGAAGTCTATGGTACTTAAAAGTCAAGGAATTTCTACTGCTGCAGAAACAGAAGTCTATGATAGATGTCTCATTATTTCAGGTATCTGTGTGGCAGTGTTACTTTTTCTTTCTGGTTTGAAAACATTTATTGTTTTCCCTTTTCTTACTGAAACACTTTGATTAGATTAAAAAAAAAAAAAAAAACAAAACAAAAATCCAGCCCTCCACCCCTAAAAAACAACAGAGGTTACCTTTCTTTGCTGTAATTGGAGAACTAGAATGGAAGGATGTAGAAATTAGGGTGACCGCCTTCAAGTTTGTGGGTTGAAGTAGTTTTTTTGCCATTTTCTGCCCCCCAAAATCCTTATTGATATGCAGTGAAGAGCCTTCTGTCTTGTGGCTGTGTATCTCTTTGGTGCCTGAAGCTGGCTGCATCAGGGTGTAGTTACACCTTGGAGGCTGGCTGAGACTGAAATTAGATTTTCTCTTTGAGCCATCTATTGGTGGCATCTTCAAAATTCCTGATCCATTTGCTGAGTCTTGAGTTCCACAGCACATTTAAAATATTGTGGGAATGGTTTGATATTTGTAAGTGGATTCAGAGTGCAGCTGTTGGTTCATTTTTAGAGATATTTATTAGGGCCAGTGAGACAAAATGTATTTGGGGTGGCAAGGTTGGGTGTAGTCACGTGCAGATCCTCATCTAGAGATAATTGTAAATGCTGGTTTGCCTGAGAGTATATGAGTATGATTTATTCATTATCTTAATCACTGGTGTATGCATGAGTGGTGGGAGGAATACACAGCTGCATTGTGGAAAGACAGGATATAGTTACAGATCTCTCTGATCTCAAACCTACTATGAATGCCATCCTGAAAAGAGGCACTTAATTTTGAATACTAAGTGTATGGATAATGAAGGGATGTGAGACTAAAAAGTCTGTCAGATGACTGAGGAAATGCTGAGGTCTTTGTTTAAATCACAAATGTGACTTCTGCCCTTCATGCCAGGCTGAGAAATGCTGGAATGTGCTTTTGAAGGACCATAGCTCTATTTGTACTTGTCCAGTTAAAAGTCTGTCTTGCCATTACATGTAATCAAATTTTAATTTATTTTTAAATTTTATTTTTATTATGAGGTAAACTGTGAGTAAACTTCATGCCAAATGCTTAGGTCACTTCAATTCCTTTCTGCCTTCTCCTTTGTAATGCAGCATCAGTCAGATATGCTGCTAAATCCTGGGAAGTATTAATTTTTTTGACTTTTTCATGGTGATCCAATATTCAATGTTTTGCACACCTTTGCTCAAAGAAAAATCTTCTTGTCCTTACACTAGACAGACACGTAGGTACTCGATTTATGGCTACGGGAAATTTCCTTCCTGCTTGTAGTAGTGACTGATTGTATTCAATACAATAAGATAGTGCATGCTGTTTTAGTCTGCGCTGAGGGAATGAATGTATGTGAAATTGGTGTCTTGCATGTGTCAGTGTTTTATGCAAGATCTTAGGTATTTTTTTTGTCCATTTGCACAGACATGTGCCTGAGAAAAATTGACATGAAAAAGGAATGACTGTAGGTGATTCTTCATTTTATTCAAGCTTTGACTTTCCTGGCGTACAGAAATGTTGAAGTGTTTCTAATCCAAGACGTGTACTTAGCACAGTTCAATTGTTGTAGTAGTGAAATTGGCGTATCGGTTTAAAGCTGCTCGTATTGACACAGCAATGTCAGTGAATGGGAAGTCAGGAATAAATATGAATACAACTGTAAGGTATCTCTTTTTTGTTTCTTGGTATAATCCCATCTGCAGCTGATGGAGCCTCTGTGGAGAATACCAAAGCGCCTCCTGTGCCTGACTGTAAGGGGGAGCTGTTGTCTTGCCTGTTTCAGGGACTTCCTGTGGCTGTGCTTTCAGAGCCTCTCTGAACTGGACTAGAGTCACACCTGTGCCCAAAGTGACCCAGCCCTGTTCTGTGTGCTAGCTCATCTCTTGGAGCTGCTAGTATGCTGATATTTGATTACTAAGCTGGACTTCACCATTTTCACATCCCTCAGTTTCTTCCCTTCTCCTGAGTTACTGCCCATCTGGATCCATCTCCCAGCCTGGCTCAGTACATTGCTGCATGGACCCTTGCCCTGGCTTGGAGAAGGAGCCTATGACTTGGAGGCACTTGGAGATAGTGCCTGTGACTTTTTTTGGCAGGATTAGGGCTCAGGCAGGTGCTGCATTATGACTCAATGTATTTAATGGTTCTTGCGTGTATTTTGTTTCCACATCTGATATAAACCACTGAAATAGAATTTTACTTTAGACTGTAGTTGTTATATCAATATTTCAGAAATAATACAGCAGTAAGGACAGTATTTCTATATACTTGTTGATATGTATGCTGTATTTTGAAGGCTAGCGTCCAGACTGTCTGTTCTTTGCAGTGGTCTGATGAGTGTCTTAAGCTGAAGGGAGGAGTAAAGGGGAAAAGGAGGAAGAGAGTTTCGTGTCCTAAAATACTGCTGATAGGTAAAATAACAAATGTACCTTCTAATGTGTAAATACAGTGTATTCTGGTCAAAAGAGGGAACATCTCCGTTGCCTGAAGGGTGTTTCTGGCTTAGTGAGTGAGTGAGTCAGTCAATAGAAAAAAAAGCTACCTGTGCAGGGTCGTTCAGAGCAGGAACCTAATTTAGCCCCTCCGTGTTCCTCTGTGAGGGAGCCTGTGTCTCTCCACTGGCCACCTGGTGAGCCTAGGACAATTATCCTCCCTAGGCTAATGCTGGCCTCTCTGAATTCCCCCGGCTTTCAAAACCACGTGCTGGGTGACCGATCTGCCTTGCTGACAGCAAATTAGTTGTAGGGTGGGTATTATCTTCTTGTTCCAGTCAAGGTAGGATTAATACCAGTGAGAAGAAGGGGGTTTAATCTTTCAGATGAGCACTTGAATAAATAATAAGTTATTTGAAAGTGTGATACTTTGTTTGTCAAGCTGCTGCCTTTTGGTTAGTAAAGGCATTTTTGTTAGACTGGTGGAGAATAATATTATTTGGCATTTATACATTCCCTTTTTAATTTAGTATTTTCTGCAGCACACTAAGAAGATTAAGAGAAGAAACATTTTCCAAATCTGCCAGCAATCTCCTTGTGGCTAGCAATACAAAGTTAAATGCTACTGGATTTTTTTTTTTTGTTTTTTGTATTTCTTCAATCCACTGCGGTGCTAGTTTGCCTGCTGTCTAAACTCAGACTCTTCATTCATTGTGTCTGCAGGAAATGTGCTAGAAACTAGTCCTAATTAATTGTATCTAGCATTTGTGGAATACCAGGGATTCACTTGAACTTTTTGTTTGGAGCATTTAGTGCTCTGAAGGCATCAAACTGCAGTTAACAACTCATGGATGCCCACAGAAGTTGTTTTAAGGTTACACACTATTCGTGGCATCTCCTGAGTAAGAGCTATTTGTGTTGGGAGGCTTAATGGAAAGAAAATCTCAGTGCATGTTTTTCCCCTCTGTGTGTGCTTGATTGACTAGGGGAAGGCAGAGGAGGAGGGGTAGGAAAGAGCACTAGAAGCACTTTCACAACTGGCTCTCCCTGCCCTCAAGACTTCACCCCAGATATGGGAGATTTGTACAGCTGTAAGGATTTCCAACAAAAGTACTCTTTAGATTGTAAAACCACCTGCTTGTTTCCCCAAGACACAGAGCCTCGAACAGGGTTGTTTAATGAATGTGTTTTATTTGTCTCTCTGCAAGGATATAGTTTTGCTGGTATGTACCTGGCCAGAAACATATGGGGATATGCAGAACACAGAAATATTCAACTTGAAGCAGATGTGGTGGGTAGCAGTGTCCAAATGAAGAGCAAGTCTGCCACATCCAAAACCAGCTGTCCCTGTGCTTCGTAACTTATCTGGATACCCCCACCTGAGATCATGAATCCTTAAATGCCCCAAACACAAAATTCTTGTTCACAAAAAGGATGCTGTGTGTGGGAATATACAGGAAAATGGTAGTCCTTAAATGAATATAAACTGTACCCAGGATTAATCAGCTGTAAGCAGCTTAAGTCTCATTAAACTGCCAGGGTTTGTTTTGGGGTTGTTTGTTTGTTGGTTTGGGGTTTTTTTTGGTTTGAGGTTTTGGTTTTTTTTTTTTTTTGGCGGGTGGGGGCGTTGGTTGGTTTGGGTTTGTTTTGGTTTTGTGTTTCTGTTTTTTGTTTTTTGTTTCTTTTTTGTTGTTTTGGTATTTCTTTTACATCATCCAAGTACTAAAATAGTTGAAGTTCTGATAAATGCCATTGAGTTCATTGTGTTTTGTAGTTTTTGGGGTGTTATTTGCATACACTGTTTAGAGTGCTTTGTTCTGCATGATAACTTTCAAAGTAACTGAATCAAAAAAGGAGACATGCTTATTTGTAAATTATTATTTTCCTGTAGCTAATCATATTATTTGATGATAGAAATAAACTAGATATAATTATTTGAGCATTTTTGTTCTTACAGAGATTCATCTCTGCATTTAGTGAACAGAATTTGTATTAAGTCACAGTCTTTGTTTGTTTTTCACAGTGCAGACTTGGCAGGTAAGATTCCCACTTTAAACAGAGAATGAAGTTTCATTGATTTTCATTCTGGAGGTCACTGATGCAAAACATGGTGTTCTTGTGGTTTTGTTCTAGTTGTTCTCCAGCATTAAAGATGGTGAAGGTTTACAGCTGTTTGAGCAAGGCCATCGCACTGCGCACAAGCAGGAGTGTCACACCATGGAGGCAGTGAGGCTGGTGGAGTTCAACCTGAAGCAAGTGCTCACGAAGCTCATGACTCACATCTTTGGTGATGGTAGGCTCTTGCACCTTTTCCCCCAGATTACTCATGCCTGTAGTCATTTGGGCTTTGGAGAAACATTTTGCTGCATAACACAGACAGGAAGCTTAGGGGTTGTGTTGGCAGCTGGTAATACAGAAACAACCAGATGGGTTTTTCCAAGAGGCCACACATTCCTCTCTGGGTTTTCCTAAATACTGGTGCACACAACACTGTGTTGACTCAGCAGGTTTTTTTGAAAATATTTAGGTGTGCAGCATGTCAGAGTAGCGTGGTGAGCACAAATGCAGGCGGGGACGTGTGGAGACACAGCTGTCAGCAGTGGTCTGGCAGAAGCTGTGTGCTAAAGGCCTGTCAGTGTGGGTCCTGCAAGGAGAGGCAGCTCCAGCACAAAGCTCTGCAGGACCCCCTCTGCTTCATCCTCGTGGGCCTCCTGTGTCCCTGGAGGGATGGGGCATGGGTGCAGCGTCGCATCTGGGGTGCATGGGAGCTTGAATGCAGCTGGGCAGCGTTCAGATCCTGAACCAGCAGCATGGGGATGGGCAGGAGCAGGGAAGGGGTGCCTGTGTCCATGTGCTGCATCCCTTGTGCAGATAAATTAAACCTTCCAGCTGAGGGCAGACCGTGTTTGCTAAGTTCACATCAAGCTGAACAGTAATTGTTTTCTGCTACTTACAGTGGAATGAGGAAGGGTAATGGATGTGTATATGAATGGAGTATTCTCTCCTCAGAAATACCTGCTTTCAGTTTCAGGAACTGAATTTATAAATGGCCTGAGTCAAAATTGCTACATTAATGCTATTTCTTGGCAAGGAGGCTGCTCTTCTGAGCTGATTCGTTTTTCTGTTGAGGAAATACTGGATGGTATTAGAATGCATGAGGTATCTTGCCTACTTTCTAAGGTGTTTTAAGATGTTTACTGCACTTAGAGCAGTAGTTCCAAGAGTGGATTGATAATGATACCAAGTTCTATATATGACTGCTTGAATATTTTTCTGAATTTTTCAAGTTGACTTATAGCACACAAAACTTTTACCAGTTGTTGTCTATTCCACCTGAACAAAAATTTTGAAGTTCCTCAGCTCAAAGCTTCTTGTAGGTGTGTTTTACTTAACAGTGACCTTTTTAAACATACAAAATTGGTATGAAAGTGGGTAACAGTAAGAATGATACATGTAGATCAACCTCAGATGCTGAGGATGTTTAAAGTGAGCAATTTCTCTGAGTTATTAGTGATATCTCAGACTGCAGTGGCATCCTTCTCTAACTGTTGACAGATATTGCACTTTAAGCCTCAGCATGTTTGCTATTACTAGTTCTTATGCAGTCCACCCAGTAGCTAAAAAGACATTAAAATATATTCATAAATTATTTTAAATGTACAAACTAAAGGTGTATCCCACCTTCTTACTGTTGGGGTTTTCTCTTTCTATACCCCCAACATTTTTCCTAAAATACAAACACAAGATATAGTTATTGCATTAAATTTAATATGGTTTTAAAATTAAATTTACATATGTATGTGTATATATGTGTATTTGCCCCATTCATGGAAATACAGGAATTCAAAGTATTCAAAGTTCATGTTAGGCACAAGGTATATGAGATTGGTGCCGTGCAACTGTCTTGGGGCACGCATAAATAAATTTGTCTTTTGATAGCTGTCATCTTTTAACTAGCATTTTACTCTTTGCATGGTACTCTTGATTACTTTTTGTATCTTGACTCCTATAAATGTTAACTTAATATTTAAAATATGTTTATATGTGTTGCTCTTGGAAAATTTCTATGTTTTTCCTATATGTGGATATTTCATAAGGCACCATGTTTTCTTAAAAGCAAAAATTTAATTCCTTTATCCTTGGCATCAGTTGTATTCTGTACAACCTGTGCTGTCAGCAGAATATTGTAGTGAAGTTGCACATCTTTTCTAGCAGGATAGCATGACCCCACAGCTGCAGTGAGTGACTGAAATGTTGCATTGTCATACAGTCAACTGTTTTTTGTAGGTAGGTTGTTTGGATTGTAGATTAAGCTTGCTGTACGTGTTAGTTTTACATATACTGGATTGTACCTGAAGTCCCGGACTTGGAAGCTGTGCTTCTGCAGTGCTTCTCTGGGAATTTACTAGCTCAGGTTGATGACAGACTGAGGATCTCTGCAGAAAGTCATATTACTGACTTGCCCTTTTCTTTTTTTTTTTTTTCTTTCTTTTTTCTCTCTGCATTGTTCTAGGTTAGTTTTCATAATATTTAATGAGACAGTTGGGTTCTACCTGGTTCCTACCACACTATTTGAACAATTCAGTAGTGACAAAACAAAGTTGCTTAAAAATCACTGTGTTGTCCTAAGGAAAGTCGAAGACTTCATAGAGTCTGCACTTATCCTTATTACAAAAGTTTGTCTTTTTATGTCTTGCTGGTTTTGCAACAGGCAAAGGAATGACAGATATTAGAGGAGGGAGAAACTTCTGGAGCATCCAATCAGTTGTCTTATAAACTTGGCAATATAAAGTAGTTCTTTTCATGGCATTTTCTGATGATATGACATGCCTGATTTTGCATTCTACAAGTAACTGTCTTTCAGTTCCTTCCATTTTTCTGTCAGGAAGATATTTCAGATAGTGCACCTAGACATCACCTTTCTTAGTTTTCCTCTGTTACTTCCATGAAGTGCACACTTAAAATCCACTAATTAAAGTTACACATCCATCTCCCCATACAGTTCTGCCAGTGTAGGTAGTCTGTTAGTTCTCATTTTAGTTACCTAGTAACAAGGCTGTCCAAGATTTCCTCATAAAGTTAGCCAGTCTTTTTCAACTATGGTTCTTTCTCTAACACCTCTGTGGTTTGCAAAAAACTTTCTGCACCCTGAGAGACTGAGAAGTAATCTTACTGTAGCAAATAGAAAATAATGACTGTGTGCTGGTTCTGTGATTTGTTGCTTTACATGAAATGGCTCAAATTTCCCTGCTATCCCATATTTATCTACCCAGTTCCTAGGCACTGGTAAGGGAAGGCAGGAGAGTGAGTAATGCTGTGCTTTGACTGATGGCTTTGCCGCTGCTGCGTCTCACTGAACTGCCACTGGATGTCTTTTAAATCAAACATGTTCTGCTCATTCTCCTTAATTCTGTTGTACTGATACCTCCTTTGAGTGCATGGAGATCTGTGAGTGTAATGAATTAAAAAAAGTAAATTATAAAGGACATAATGGTCTGGCTAATAATTTCTGAAAAATGTGAGCTAATGCAGGTTTATATGGGCAGCCAGCTCCTGTCTGCTGCAAGTATGATGAATTATCTGAAACAATGAGGTGCAGAGTACTTACAAATTGACACACACCTCAAGAGGCCACAGTTCAATACCTTCTGTGCCTCCCAGCACCCTCCTTGCACCCCTCTCCTTTTTATTCCATAACCTTGTCTCTAAAAATAATCCTCACAGCAACAAAGAGAATTTCTGGTCAGTGAAGACCATCTGGGTCTCAGGCTTTGTTGCCTCTGTGCTGTAGTGTAGTAGTAGGCTGCTTTAATGTGTTTGGTTTGTTCTTTTTTCTTGTCTTTCTTTTTCAGTGGCTTTGGTCAAGCCTTTTTCATTATGAGACTCAATTAAGCTAGCACTTGTTTAGCTTAATATCTAATAACACCATTACTTTTGAGTGCAGGCTATGGCCAATTCCTTACCTGGACTCAGTGTTCAGAAATAACAGTAATTATTCACTATTTCCATACTGATCTCACATACAAGTTACTGTATTGGGTTTGCATGGCAAGGTTTTGGTAGCAGGGAGACTGCAGGGGTGGCCTCTGTGAGGAGCTGCCAGACGTTTGCTCCATGTCTGACAGAGCCAGTGCCAGCCAGCTCCAGGACGGACCCACTTCTGGCCAAAGCTGAGCCCATCAGTGATGGTAGTGGCACCTCTGGGATAACACACTTTAAAAGGGAGGGAAAAAATCCTGCACGATTTGCAGCCAGCGAGAGGAATGAGAACATGTGTGAGAAGCAGCCCTTCAGATACGTCTGTTGAGACACAAGGTCAGTGGAGAAGGAAGGAGAAGAAGGAGGTGCTCCAGGTGCCTGAGCTGAGATTCCCCTGCAGCCCATGATGCAGACCATGGTGAAGCAGCTGTGCCCCTCCAGCCCATGGGCATAAAGGGGTCCATCTGCAGCCCATGGAGCACCCCATGCTGGAGCAGGTGGATTCCCAAAGAAGGCTGGAACCCTGTGTTGGAGCAGGCTTCTGGCAGGACCTGTGGTCCTGTGGAGAGAACCATGCTGGAGCAGGAGGTTCTTGAAGGACTGAGTGCTGTGGAAGGGACTCATGCTGGTGCAATTAGGAAGGACTGTCTTCAGTGGGTATGACTCCATTCCCCATTCCCACTGCTGGTGAGGAGGAGGTAGAGATTTTGGGAGTGGAGTTGAGCCTGGAAGAAGGGAGGGATGGGGGAAGTTGTTTTCAACATTTAGTTTTTATTTCCCATTATCCTGCTCTGATTTGATTGGTAATAAATTGAATTGCTTTCCCCAAGTCAAGTCTATTTTGCCCATGACTGTAATTGCTGAGTGATCTCTTCCTGCCCTTACCTCAACTCATGAGCCTTTCATTAAATTTTCTACCCCTGGTCCAGTAGAGGAGGGGAGTGGTAGAGCAGCTTTGCTGGGAGCCTGGTGTTCAGCCAGCATCAGCCCAGCACAACTATGAATGGACCTCTACCCACTGGAAGGACTCTCATGAACACTGTGAGGTTCTGAAATGAGCAGGTGTGTTTGTGTCTGATAACACAAATAATTTCTTTGAACCGGAAAAGTTGTGGAATTTGTGTCTAGTGGTCAGGCCTTGATTAGATTCAGCAGTGTGCTCTTGTAACTGCCTGTTTTAAGAGAGATATGTGTCTCTTGACCTCCTAAAATTCCTAGACAAGATCAATTTTGCCAGTATTTCATAGGCTGTATGTGAAGAAATAAACTAGGTTGAATCAGGAAAATCATATAGTACTACAGGAAGCCTAATCATCGTAGTCCTTTAAAGTCTTTAGTGGTTTAATTTGCTGAGTGTAAGTGATGCCCTTTACTTCTTGGGAATATATTGAGCACCAAGACAATATTTTGTATCTAAATAATAAATGTACCCATTTGTTCTGTGACACTCTATAGAAATGCAGTTAATGTTGCCAAAGGCTGAGCATCCTCTGCTTTTCAGTAAAGTCTTCTAGAGCCAAAAGTCTGAAAGAACACTTGAATATAAACTATAGAGGTATTCCCAAATGGCCTGGATCCTGTATGAATAAAATTATTGTGGTATGTGGGATTAACTATTAATTTAGAGAACAAAATGAAGGTGATAGTTGTTTCTTCATTGTGAATTTGTTTTGGTTTATTCAGAATGTTGTTTGTTTGCTTATTTGCATTTAAACCGGAAGCCTCTTCATTGTACTCATCTTAAGTGCTAATATGCATTAAAATTAAAAAATAAAAAGAGCTTTAAATTATTTTTTTACATTTTAAAATTTATTTTAATTAAGAACAAACAGCTGAGAAATCCTTTTTTTTGCAGAGCTTCATTTTTTAAGTAATTAGAGGATTAACAAGAAAACATTATCTGAATGTTGTTACTGAATCCAAAGTAGTTGAATATTCAATGTAGTTGCTGCAGTTGCAAATTTTGCAAGCTAAATTAGAATATTTTATATGTGCACAGCCCAAGCATTAAAAATGCCAAGATCAGGAAATTAAAGAAAATGTTTTCTGCGCACTATATTATTGTATACATGACTCTTTTCATCTATATATTTTTTATTGTCATGCAGACAAAAAGGAGCAATCAAGTGATTGCTGTTACACTACAATTGTGAATGAAATTATTGTAAATATTTCTAGTTTTCTGAGTTCTGTCTATACAATTATAAAAAACCTTTTCCCTTACTCATATACTTTCCTGAGACTGGTTTTTAAGAAAGCAAAGAAAATCTAGAAGTGCCAGTCTGTTTGATTTGAAGCTTGCCTTGCCATTTGAAATTTCATAGCATCTAGAAAAGTTCCCTGTGACTGTTAGGAGGTATTTTATGTTTTGGCCATGCACGTACGTCTTTGTTGTGATTGTTTCAGTTTCTGTAGCTGCATTTCATGTTTCAGAGGTAATCAATGAAGATGTAATTCTTGAGGCTACTTTAAATATTTTCATTAGAAAAACATTTGGTATGAATCATGCCATTTCATGTTTTACATTCCTCTTATGAAACAATCCCAAAAAAACTTGAAGATCAAACCAGGAATGTTAACAGTTGCTGTCATTCACACTACCTTTGCCTTTCCAAAATAAGGTTCAGCTCCTTATTTTTGAAGCTGGACCTGCCTGGTTCTTAATGATCCTAACTCTGATTAGCATTTGACTTAATTGAAGAGAAGACATATTTGGGGTTAAGGCATTAGCTTAGCTTACAGAATTTGCATTTCAGTTCTCTATCTAAAGTTTTTATGGTTCATGTTTCTGAGACTTCTTTCCTGACACCTAATAGTTAGAAAAAAATTTAGTGAAACAAAGCGTCTGTAAATCATTAGAAGAACTAGAACTCATCAAATGTAGTGAGCGCTTTGACACAATTCTGCTTTTGGCAGCACTGAAGACCTTAGGAAGGAAGACCTTGTCCTCTTCTGGCTGCACTGCTCTGAGATGCCAGGACTTTCCTTGCTCTGCACAGTGCTATCTGCAGAGGTGCTGAGCTGGGGAGGATGGTGGGGAATTACCAAGTGAGGATTTTCCCTTACACTTATCTAGCAGGTCCAGAATGCTCTGTGCATGTGTTGCATATCTTAATAATGTACAACTCTGTGAAAATATATTTCCATTTGTGTATGTTAATATCTATTTTTAAACATATACAGAGAGAATAGCTCTGTATCTTAATTAAGTTTTGATGAAAAAAAATTACTTGCCTAGACAATCCATAAAATACTAAGTAAAAATTAAAGACTTAGCTAGCTTTTCCTGTGAGAAGCAGTTAGTCATTTCCTGGTGTAAAGAATAACAAAATTACTGACTTTCCCATTATCTTGGCTCATTTTTGTTCGATGCCAGGTGGTTACTAGAGTTTGACAAATGATTGATTTGGTTTCAAAGGGTGCTTGAATTGCACAAAGCATTTTTCATATTAGAAAAGACATGGTCATTTTTTTCCACAGGTTTTAAGATTTATTGCCTCACACAAGTGTTGTAAATTAGTTTGTTTGCTATTTATTTTCTCTGGATTGCTGTAATTCATGTCATTAGTTGAAGGGCAAATTTTACAGATGGTTGGAGGGATGGATTTTTAAGCATACACCCTTTCATATTTATTTATTTTTTAAACACTGCTACAGGACTGCAAGTCAGATGGGTAGATTGCTACTTCCCATTTACTCACCCTTCCTTTGAGATGGAGATCAACTTCCAAGGAGAATGGATGGAGGTCCTGGGCTGTGGGGTCATGGAGCAGCAGCTTGTTAACTCAGGTACTGAAACTCCTTTACTTCATTGACATCTCTGTTAGCAAGCACTTCCATCACAATCAGCTTCGCAGCCTGGAATGCCCCTTCTACCCCGGTGAGCACAGACATGTCCGCATGGCAGCCGCCGCAAATACTCCTCAGGTGGAACGCAGCCCTCGCATGCTGTGGTTTGAGGGTAGCAGCTGAGCAAGTGACCTGAAGCCTGCAAACAGAAGGCTTGCCTTTTATTGTGTGCAGTAAGGAGACAGAGGGATGTCAGCTTTAAAAGAAAACCTGCAAGGGTGTGCAGCGTTTCTTTTTCTTTCCCAAGAGATGCCAAGTGTGTTCTTAGTAACAACTTGAAGGTATCAATAGCAAATAACATCCCTAAATATTTGGAATATCAAAATGCTCCTCTGTATCTAAAGCGTAGAAAGAGGAATGTGATATCTTTCATATTGCTGTTTTGTCGCTGGGTAAATGGTGGGTAGCTTTTTTTCTTTTGTTTTATTGCTTTTCTCCTCAGGTTGGTCATTTATGAGGTTGTAAATTGCATTAAAAGCAACATAATTTATTTTAATTGAAATTATTACAGAGCAGTGTCGCCTGACCATCTTGCTTTCTAAAACTGACACATAAGTATTAAAGAAGGAAAGGAGAAATTGGTGTATTTTTTCTAATTATTTTTTATCTGGAGAATTTTGCATGCTTGCTCTTTCATTTACTGAAGATAGGCAATTTTTAGGAAGCACAGGACGGTGTACATGCTCTCAGTGTTGTTCAGTGTCTTCCAGTACTATTTATTAGTACGTGAGCCTTTTGGAATATGATCTGTGTAATTCCAGCAAGTGGGCTTTCAGATAGCCAACATAACACTCAGTTGATTTTTTCCCACTGGTTTGCTAAGCTGTTGTTGTATTTTCATGTGCTCTAAATTCTTCCTATTGAAGACCAAGTACAATAACTATGAATTACTTAATTTTGGCATAATTTACTTGGCACAGCTTGTTTTCCTCAAAGTTTGCTTGCATTTTAATGTGGTCATTTTCCTTTTAGAAAGATATCCTCTTCCAGAGTTTCCCCACAATGAATTAATGATTTATGCTAATGTTCTCTCAGGTTATTATCTTCATAGTGTGGTAAATACAATACAGCTTCTAATCAGTCTCGGAAGTGAAAGACTGCTGTGTAATATTGTTTCCATTAGATGTAACACACCAGCATCCAGGCTTTCTGCTTCAAAAGCTTTTATGTTGCTCAACTCTTACAATTAGGATGCTCTAATGGGTGTGAAAAGAGCCAAACTGTGTCCCTAAACAATTACTGTATACATTTGTGTGTGCGTGAATGGATGTACATGTAACACCAGAGGTTTCTGCAGCACCTTTTTTTTTTTTTTTTTTTTTGCAGCATTCTCATGCGTGGGCTTCCATAGCACTTTCTCACCCTTGAAATTTCACATTTTTTAAATGTTAGACCAGATCAGGATTTTCCAAGGGAGAACAGCCGGTCTCATTCTTAGTCATTCACTGGGTAATGGATCCAGTCTTCTGGACCATTCAGATTTTCCATGTTAGCAGCAAGAAAGGTTTCTGTTGTCTTGGTGTGTAGATGAGTAAGTATAATTTAGTAAAGGCTGCAAGTACCATCTTCATCAAAGCAAATTTAGCTATTGATTATTTTTTAAGAGTTTTTTGCATTCAGGAAAGTCTCCTACAACCAAAAAAAAAAAAAAAAAAGAAGACTGTGGTGTTATTTACTGTTTTCTAACAGTTATAGTATTTCTAACAGTGATACTATTTTAAAAGAAAAACAGAAATCCTATTACAGTGTTTTTATGTAATCATTATAAAAAGTACAGTACTCCAAAGATGCACAGAATTGTAGGGGATGATGTTACATGTTCCCCTAAGGCTGATGGTGTTTAACTTCCTGGTTTTGTGTGCTTACTTTTTCATCTGTATCCCATAATACATAAGTTTAATAGGAGTGCTGTGTATGAATTTCAATATAAATAAAAGGGGTTTTGTTCTGGTTAATCCTGGGAAAAATACAGAAACTTTTCAGTATATTAGAAAGTACTCCCAGTTTTAGGTCCATGATATGTATACAAGGAAATTGTGTGGTTCAGTAGAGCTATTTTCAATTAACAACACCCAAGGTATGTATTTCTGTACTTCAATAGTTAGTTATCTAAGATTTGTGAAGCTGGTGTTCATTGGTAGGTGCCCAAGTTTCAAGTCTCCATGAAGTTCTACAGTTCAAACCTTTGAATACAGGACATTGCTTGCTCAGAGGCTGTGATCACTTAGTGTTGCTTAGTAACTGTGAAATTGGAAGCAGTTAGGGTGTGATCCTTTACTGATGGAAATCAATGGCAATGTTCTCAGTGCTCAGTGTTGCAGAATATGTTAGCTGAGGATGGAAGCAAGTAAATTGAACTAAAGTTTACATCAAAACCATGAGACTATAAGCCAAATAATTTAAAAATCAAACCAAACCCAAACACTCTCCCCTCACCCCAAAACAAACCCAAACCCACAAACAAACAACAAAAAGAAGAGAATCCCATAATTTTTTTGGTAAGACTTCTCATGATGTTTTTAACTCCTGAGGTATACAATAAAATAATGTAAGGGTGGCACACCAGATCCAACCTCAAGTCCAAGGCATTGCTGTATCATGATGATTTATCACTTCCCAAGCCAGTGCCTACAGCTGAGTAGAACAGCATGGTTATACTGATACGCTGCTGCAGCTGCGTCTTTCCTGAGCTGAAGGTGGTATGTTTGCTTTCTGTGGTCATTGTGGAATTTTCTTCCATTCATTTGTTGAAATGTTTGAGTCCCAGTAAACCTTTACTCTCTGCAATGTCTTAATTTGCCTAACTTGCATGAGGAATCACTTCTTTCTTGTTCTGACCAACAACTTAGAGATACAGTTAGAGCTCTTCTGTCGTGCTCAGCTCAGAAGAGTTAGTGAGTCTCTCTCTCTTTTTCCTTGTTTAAGCCCCTCAATATTTGTTTAGATTTCAGTTGTAGGTCTTGTCACTGACTTCTTTCCAAGCCAAAGAGTGCTGGTCAGACAGTCCCTCCCTATGTGGGAGCCTATCCATATGTTGAGTCATGACTGCTCCTGCCTGCGTCTTCTCCAGGCTTCTTTATTTTCCTTTTCTTATAATTTTTAATATTAATTTTGCTGTGTTGACCTTTAATTATAGTATCAGAGCGACCCCAACACGGGAATAACGTGCATTGACTCCAATGGTTGCAGAAGGCTGATCAAATGCTTTATTAAGGTATACTATATTGTATTGCATACTATATTATACTATACTAGTACTAAACTGTACTAAAGAAAAACCCTTTACAGACAGTCACAACACAGCTTTGACCTAATTGGTCAGTCAATCCAAACATCATCACCAGTCTCCAATTAACAAATCCCTTTTGTTAAACAATCTCCATAGCACATTCCACATGTGCCAAACAACAGATGCAAAAAGTAGAGATAATAATTGTTTTTCTTCTTCTCTGAGCTTTTTCACTGCCTTCCCCAGGAAAAATCCTGGGGCAGCGTGTCTGCAGCTCTCTGTTAAGAGAGCTGTGGCCACATTTAATGAGCCTTGAGTTGAAAAAAAGGGGAGCAGCATGGGATGATGACTGCTGCAGATGATGGCTTTTGATTGCTAGAGGATGATGAAGCATCCTGGCACACAGCTAGACACTCATCTCGGGGGGGGGCAGCTCAGGTTAAGGTCACATTTCCTAAAATTATGAATCATGAAGGCTGCTGTATTTAGGGTACCAGTAAGAGGAATTGGTAGAACTTTCCCACTGTATGCAGATTTTTCTACCTTTCACATCAGAAATTAACGGTGATATTTATTGTCTCACAAAACTGATTTTATTCATTTATGGTTTTTTTAAATTTTATTTTTTATTGTCAGCTTAAAAGGAGTAGAGAATGGTGTAGGGGTTTGGAAGAGGAAATGTCAGTTGAGTTTATAGCAAAGGTAGTTGTCCTAGTTTCTTGTTAATTTTGTGAGTATTTCTAGTAGAGGAAAAATTGCTAACTCTGTCTCAACATTTTCATTAATGTTGTTGAACATGACAAAAGGAGATTGTTAGGAGTTCTACAAATCATTGCTTTTGTTTTAAAAGGTGGAGGGTTGTTCTCTGTGAAACCTGATTCTTGAAGTGTCTTTGCCATTTGGAATCCCTTTTACAGATTAGTGGCAGGACTTATTCCCAAAATTCAAATAGTACTAGGCCCAGGGCTGCCACCTTCAGCCAAATACAAGTCTTAATGTGTAGAACTTGTTTGTCTTCAGTGCTGCAGTGAATAAATATTTCTCTTTCTTTACTCATTTATTGAAGTTCATCGAAATTGCAATTTGAGTGGAAGTAACAAATTTAAAGTTCTTAACTAGTATGCTCCTTTTTGGTTTTGGCAATAGGATTATCAGTCTGGACAGTTCTCAGTGGGCAGCAGGTTAACAGAAGAATTATGTCAATGTTACCTTGCAGGCACGGGACTTTTTAAAAAAAATTTTTGAATATGTTCTTAAAGGAAATATTAGTTATGGGTGAGTTAGGTTCATATATCAAGCAGCAGTGGACTAGGGGAAATCTAATTTCTTTCATCTGTCGGGGTTTTTTTTTCTGCTCAGCTCTTGCCTGGTAAATTACATTAAAATGTTTGAGCAGATGGTGCATGTGGCTTCAGTCGTGTGCCGGCCCATGTTCTGTCTCTGCTAACAGCTCTCTGTGGAGACCTTGAAATAGTTAATGCTGTATGTGTTTGGATGTATTGTAGAAGGGTAAATATAATGAATTTAAAATACATGCCTGAAACTCTTCAAGGTGAAATTAAAGTTACAGAGGTATTGGTGTATCGAGCATCTGAGGCCTCCCAAGAACATGAGGCAGAACTGTTGGATGGACTGGTTCTTCCCACAGGAGCACCTAAAGTGATTTAAATCTCTTGCATAAGCTTCACAGCTCCACATCCCAAATCTCTCT